TTGTCGCGTTATAGTTATATATAATATATATATATATATATATATATATATAATATAAATTGTTAAAATACATTATGTCTGTAATAGTTGTAATAGTATCTAATAATAGTTGTTTATGAAGTAAATGTAATAAGGAAATCTAATTGCATGGCATTGTAAAAAAAACAATTCATTCTGTTGATACATTCGAATATCAATTTCATGCTCTTTTTCAAAATGAAAATTGATTATTTATGTATTTTTTTCAGTTGCAAATAACGCAAAGCATAATCTTTTGCAATTCAACGCAACGCGTCGAATTACTGGCTAAAAAAATAACAGATCTCGGATACTGTTGTTATTATATACACGCGAAAATGGCGCAGGCACACCGAAATCGCGTATTCCATGATTTCCGTGCAGGGTTATGCCGAAATCTTGTAAGTTAATACTTATCATTTTTAATTATAAAAATTTAAATAATTTTTTGTTAAACTTTTTAGTGTTTTTATTAAATATAAATTTATTTTCTAGGTGAGCAGTGATCTATTTACCCGCGGTATTGATGTTCAAGCTGTGAACGTTGTAATCAATTTTGACTTTCCGAAGATGGCAGAGACATATCTCCATCGAATCGGTCGATCTGGAAGATTCGGCCACTTAGGTATAGCAATTAACCTAATCACATATGAGGATCGCTTCAACTTACATCGTATCGAACAAGAGCTTGGAACAGAAATTAAACCTATCCCAAAGGTGATAGACCCCAGTTTGTACGTGGCGAGACCAGAAGACAATAATAGTATGGAAGAAGGTAACGTGTCCAAGTAGTTTCGATACATTGGTGGTAAAATGAAACTTCACACACGCTCAAAGAGTTTAAAGTGTGTGCTAAAGTGTGTCAAAGAGTGAGTTTACTTGTAAATACAGCGTACTTTAAGTATGAGTAATGAGTTGAGTGATTCAAGTGTCGCGCAAATGTCAGTGCGAATCATTTCTTTGTACATAAATACATTTAAATGTACATAAGCTAAAGCAAATCAGAGTCAAGCCATTATCAAGATGCACAATATGTAAACAGATATGTGAATAACATAATAATCAATCATTGCATTTTATCATAACTGTAAATACTACATGCGAAGACATACAACATCGTTTTAATAGAAGATTTTTATACAATGGCTTCATTCTTCCAGTATTTCTTTTCTTCTGTTGTTGCGTAACAATGAAGAAAGAGGGCATATATGATTTAAAAAATCTATCGGCCAATCTCACTGAGTACAACATACCGACTCATGTGCTCATTACTTTTGTACTGTCATGCATATATA